ATACTTATTGTCTTGCCACCGTAGTGGGGATATCGGTGCAAGTGTTTTCTCCCGTTAAGAACAAGCCCGTGGTTCTGGTACGCAACTTGACAATCAACTTGGTTAAATCTACTTGGTCTAACGTGCTGTGCTGCGTAGGCAACGTGGAAGGGGGAAGATCCGACACTCCCTGGTATTATCCTCAACTCGCATTACGACGTTGTGCCTGCGATCCCCGAGCACTGGACCTACGATCCTTTCGAGGTGGGACGATACACTCTTGACCTTTCCTGCATACGAGTTCAGCAAATTGACTGATGTATCTGGTTAGGCTAAGATCCTACATGATGGCCGCATCTACGGCCGTGGGGCTCAAGACATGAAGAGCGTGTGCATCCAATACGTTGAAGCTGTCCACGCCCTCAAGACATCGGGTTTCACACCCAAACGAAACATTTACTTACTGTTCGTGCCAGATGAAGAGCCTGGAGGTGCGCAAGGAATGGGGACATTCATTGAAACGGAGCAGTTTAAGGCGATTCAACCTGTTGCATTTGCATTCGACGAGGGTCTCGCAAACCCGGGGGATGCGTATACTGTTTTTTACGGTGAACGAGCGCAGTGGTGGGTGTACGTAAAGGCTGAAGGACCTACTGGCCATGGTAGCCGATTCATTAAAGACACGGCTACATCGAAGATCATCGACATTTGCAACAAGGCTCTAGCTTTTCGAGAAGAACAGGAGAAGATCCTTAATGCTGACGCTGGTTGCAAGCATGGGGACATGAAGAAGAAGAAACTTGGAGATGTGACGAGTATCAACATCACGGCGTTGCAGAGTGGCGTTTCTCAGGATGGCGGCAAGACTCATGCTCTCAATGTGATCCCTACGAATGCAATTGCTGGCTTTGATATTCGCATTTCTCCTGAAATGGACATTAGTGCAATGGGGGAGAAACTGGATGAATGGTGTGCAGCGGAAGGAGTCTCGTGGGAATTTGCGTCCTGGACGAAGCCAATGCATGAACACTACGTTACGTCGTTGGATACTGGCAATGTGTGGTGGCAACTTTTTCTGAAATCTTGTGAACGTATCGGTGAAGAGATTGAGACGGAGATCTTCCCTGCTGCTACTGACAGTCGCTATCTCCGCAAGGCTGGCGTACAAGCAATTGGCTTCTCGCCGATGAAGAGGACGGAGATCCTGCTACATGAGCATAATGAATACCTGCACAAGGATACGTTCCTACACGGTATCAAGGTGTACGAGGCGGTTTTCCGAGACATGTTTGCACACAAGTAGGAGCGAGATTGCGTACAGATACAGGTTTTTAAGTGCGTTGTCGCTGGTTCTTGTTGTTGGCAGTCTAATTCCCCGTTTTCACCACTTCAAGAGGAGGCTGCAACTGGCCACCAATGCGCTTAATGGAAAACAATTTACGTCATGAACTCTACGTAGCAGGTCAAAGAGAACGCATTCCAGGGGCAGTCTGCAACGTAAGACTTGCTCTTGATCGCAATACAAACAACTAACTGTGCGCGGAGTGGTAAGCACGTTAACATGACGCACCCAATACGTTGCGCGACTTGTCTGGTCTTTTATCGATCTCTTGCCGCTTTTATCTCAATTATTGCACAGGACTCAAAGCGACTTAAATCCACGCAACCTTCGCCGTTTGGCTTCTCGTTATGGATCACTTTGCGATGATGAAGTCGGTGATTTAGGTGGCTGAAGAGCATATTGCGACAAAGAAGTTAAGTTTGAGGCTGTACACTCGTCCAGTGTTGTTGTTGTAACTGCTGTTGGAACGCTCAAGAACCGAAAACTACGGAAGAAAAACTTGACAACGAACTTTGCCGACGCTTGCCACTAGCAGACGCTCTTGCTATTTGCGGAAACGACGCGCTATGCTATTGTTGCTTTGCGAAGTGGCAAGAACGACTCGTGAGTTAGCGAGAGGCTGATTGATCCATTCACGTTTCCTCCACGACGACAGCACGTCGTAGTATGAGCTCTTTTCTCCGTCTTGGGCTCGAACGACGATGGCAGACTCGGCGTATGGTATCGATCTGGTTAATGGCGTGCATTCTTTCGTGTATCGTGGTTCACGGCGACAACGACGTAGGCGTATCGACAATTCAAAAGCATCTCCGTCAATTGCCGCTTCAAAGTGATACCGATAATGATCCCCAACAAACAGCACGCAAGCTTAGTATCTTCGGCACTGATGATCGACAACAAGTAACCGACCCAACTACCTATCCATACAGCGCTGTAGGATTGCTACAGTGGAATGATGTCACATGTACAGCTACGCTAGTCGCTTCGAACATTGTGCTGACAGCAGCAGAATGTGTCCTGGACTCGGACGGTGAAGTGATCGAAAGCTTGCAGAGCTCCTCCTTTACTTTACCTCAATCCACAGAGACGAAAACTGCAGCAGTCAGTCGAGTACACAAGCAGTCAGATTTCTGGATCAAGTGGACGAACAATACATACGTGCTGCTTGAGTTAGATACTGAGCTAGGAGCCTCAAACGCTCTCAAGCTGCCGACAGCGAACACTTTTGCTGAAGACGATCCCATGAACGTCCAACTAGTTGGCTACAAGTGTAATGAGGAATCGAGTGAATGTTTCCAACTATGCAAGATCCACTTCCCCAGTGAGTTTGGCGGTCCAGATTACATGCTACACCATGAATGTGATGTGTCTGGGGAGCGTTCAGCGGGGTCGCCTATGCTGATCCGATCCACAAATATGGATACATATATCATTGGAATTCACACGAACGCGATCGGTGACGATACAGTGGAGGATAATGTGGAGCATTCATCGTACACTGACAGTGTAGCCAATCGAGGGGTACTAGGATCGTTCGTGGAGCCCCATTTATCGTTCTTGGTTCAGCAAGCAGAATCTTCGGCTGCCTCAGGTGGGACTACTACCTCAAGCGAGAGCTCAGTGTCGTCTAGCAGTTCCTTGTCCGATTCTGCGTCCAATAGCCATGTCAGCAGCCAAGATCACGAGGATCAGACTGATGCAGGAGCAAGTGAAGCGCTAGCTCCATCATCAGCTTCTTCGTCCTCAACTGAAACGACTGTGGCATCCGCACAGCTTGGTATCGGAACAACAGCAGCGTATACATGCATCGGTGTGGTGTGTGCGTCATGGCTGGCTATTATCTTCGCTGCTGGTCGTAGAATCCGTTCCAATCGCTGAAATGTTGGCGTAGCCAACTACGTAGGTATCTTTTGAGTAATAGTAACCTTAGTTCCATCAGCTTGTCGAGATTTACCACAGAATAGTCATCACCAAAGTGCCAATAACCCACGTGACAATCACATGATGCCCAACGTTAGCTTGTTCAGTCAGAAATGCAAGTACCAGCGACTCGAAATCTCTGTCTTTAACGCGTAAATAATTCGTAAATTTTAATCAAAGATCGGGTGTGAGTACGGGAATGTAGCAAGTGAACGATCCGAACGAGTCCACGAGAATCGAGTGCAGCACCATGGCCCTATTTTCAGTGATACAGCACAAGACCGAGTCCGTTGACTGTCCATCCACTAAAATCGCCTTGCTCAGCATTTTGCTATCAACTGTAACACTGGAGGAGCGTTGTTGTCTGCGTCTTTCTTCTTCCTCCTCGTCCTCCTCATCTTCATCGATCAAATCGTCTCGATACCGCAAGTGTGCGAACAGCGTTTGTAGTGTGAGTGGGTGTGTATCGATGCGAAGAATGAGCGTCCCTGTCTTGCTAGCCTCCACCGTCATTGTCTTGTGCATGACCTTGAGTCTGTCCACGATGCTACGCAACGCGCGCAGTGGCGGCATCTCGATAGCGATCTGTGGGGCCGGTACACTGGGCTCTCTGTAGTGCTCCACAGTGCTCATGGCCAGTACCTCGATAGGGATGCTCTGCACAATGTCGATATCTACAGCGCGAGTCCTGAGACACAGATAGTTGTTGCCGTCTCGCTTGAGCAGCCGCAACATGACGGCGCTGGCATCTTTGCCTGAGGTCAGAGCCTGCTGGAAGTGGCGTACATCGCATAAGAATCCGATGTGGTTCTCGGCTCGGGACTGGACCACGACGTCGTGAAAGAGGCGCGCGGTCTGTAGTCGGGCAAAGCTCTGGAGCTCTTCGGCGCCGCCACTCTTGAGAGCGATCGACAGCGTTTCGGGGGTTAACGTGAACACGCAGTTAGTCTTAGCGCTGCTCTGTGAGCCCAGGCGAGCGAAGGATTGTGCCACGTCCAGCAGCACAGCCAGCGCGTCCTTGGCCAACGTCCCGCGGAACCGCATTGTTGACGAGTGATATTGTTAATATGATTCGATTGGATGAAAAACAAGAAGTGTAGCCACGGCTACGTAATGTACTTCTGTAGACGAACATGAATGCACTGGATCGGATTACTAAAGATTTTAGGTAGCTCATGCCACGTGAGAAAGCACAAAGCTAGTGAGGTGGGCACTGGATAATTGTTAGGCAACAAGGCGACGAGGGACAAATGGCACAGCGCTCCGAAGAGCAGAGTCGCGGGGATAATGACACGTAAATGGATAAATGCAATGATAGCAACTAGGTCTTCTGTCAACAAGACCCTCTCTCTTCCTTTGTGGCAAGCACGAAAGCCGAGAGACTGCTATCTGTGTGAACCCCCTTTGAGCACGAAGGTCAATCCTCCACCTTCACGACCTTGCAAGGCTCTCTTGCACCAAGCAGCCACGCAGGGTAGCTAAAGCCGCCCCACCCGTCGCAAACTCAGAAGCAAGTGTTATCTCTGTCCGTCCCCCCTTACAATGAGAAGGTAGTGCCTTGAATCTTCCCATCAAGATTCCGAGGGACGTTAAAGCGCCATTACCCCACGCAGTTGGCTCGCCAAAACCAACCGGCGACCGAGACCACACCGCCTTCGCCATTGCCACGTGCCGAGCAACATCCAAGTACCTTTCACTCCTCTACAGCACTCACGATGCCATAAAGGACGCCCCACGCTTCCTCGCACGAATCGTGGACTCGACCTCGCAATGAACTCGTCACTTCCAGTTGTGACGAGATTTGTATGGCGTGCGAAGTTGCAATCAATTTCAACCAATCACAATGGACTTTGGCGAAACATATTTCAACTTGAAAATGGCTGGAACAGCGTCGCCACTGCCTGCTGCTGCTGCGCCTGAAGATCCCGCGGCGGTGTCATGTGGGAGCAAGCGAAGCATCGAGGAAGTGGCTGACAGTCTGCTTCGCAGCAGTCTGGAGGACCTGGTGGCCAGGAGCTACGTCCCACTCGCAGTTCGTGCCATCTAGCTGTTCCTCGATTAGTGTTTTATTTTTTTATTTTGCTAGTGGTATGGTTTTTTACAGGATATTCGCGATGCGTTGATGGACCATTTGCTGGGTAGTATCCAGACGGATCTGAAGCACACAGTGCTCTTCGTGTGCGAAGAAGTGGTCGATTTTCGACCACAGCAACAAGAAGCGCCCTTAGAGGATGCTGCGAATGGTATCGCAGTTGCGGAGGAATTGCCATTGCTGAAAGGGTTAGAAGGCGATTATCAGTTTCGCAGTCGGTTGTCTGAAGGTGATAGTATTCCTCGATGCGACGCCACGCTTCTTAAGATTCCCGTGTCCAAGCACGACATTGAAAAAGAGAAACACGCGGCCAAGAAGGCAATCAAGAAGAAGATCAAAAAGTTCAAAAAGAGCTCCGGCGGTACGTGTTAGTTCAATACATATTCTAGCTTGGTTTCTGATGTTTTAATGTTGTTATTCTTCACAGAGACGTCCAAACCAAGCGCTGAGTTCTACGTCCTGTCACCGGAGGAGCTGAAGATGCATCTGCCATCAATTCCGTTCGAAGACACAAAGGCAGCAGCTGAGTTTATCTCTACAAAACCTTTGCCGGACGGTGAGACGCGATCAGCCGAGCAGCTCTTGCTTGCGATTGACTGCGAGATGTGTCGAACCACAAAAGGCGTCGAGCTCACTCGCGTCACGTTGGTAGATGCTAGCGAGAAGGTGCTTCTGGACGAGTATGTCCGTCCAAAGAATCCCATCGTGGATTACTGTACACAATACTCCGGCATCACATGTGAGATCATGGAGGCCACGACCATGCGGTTAGCAGACATCCAAGAGAAATTCCTGGCTCTTGTGCCTGCAGAAACGATTCTGGTGGGTCACTCAATCGAGAATGATCTACAAGCGCTTCGAATGCTGCACCGTCGCGTGATCGATACTGTATGCATGTATCCGCACCCTAAAGGGCCTCCGTTCCGCAGTGCGTTGCGCTTTTTGGCGAGTCAATACCTCAATCGTGCCATCCAGACTGGCACAGACGGTCATTGCAGTGTGGAAGACGCAATAGCTACATTGCAGCTGGCGCAACTTAAGATCAAACACGGGCCTACGTTTCCGAGCATCGAGCACGAGTACAAGCAGAAGAAAGTGGTTAACGAGATGGCTCGAGCCAAGAAATCGGTCCTAATTGTTGACTCACAGCGTGCCTGCCGGTCGCTCAGTGGCGGTGTGGCCTGTATCATTCCGCATGAAGATCCTAGCGAGGTGGTGCAGACAGTCGTGCATCAACTGACGACAGGATTTCCGCCGCATCTTACCTGGGCTCGAGTTCGTGGGGTGAAGCGGTCAGAGATTGTGGCGTATATGCAGAAGATCAAGAGCAACTTGCCTGAGCACTCGTGCCTCGTAACGGTGCTGAGCGGGGATACCAATGAGCTGCGTGCGCTCCATAAACGCCGCACGGCGCGCACTGATCCTCGCAGTTCGCTCATGTGGGACAAGAAGCAGCAAGAAGAGCTGAATGCAACGGCCTTGGCAGCCCAAACAGGGGTTGTACATATCTGCTTGCAGTAACGAATCAGAGTTTGGTTTTTTTGCTGTTGTTGAAGCAGAGTGGTGGTCGTTGAAGTGAGACGAGAGTGTTTGTAGATTCTTGTAGATTCTTGCGGATGAATTAAATCAAGAGTACATTTATTGTGAGAGAAAAAACAGCTTAATCAAAGCATTTAAGAGAACCCGTCGAGATATCAATTTGAACATTCTATATCTTTTGAGATGTTGATTAGACGTGCCCGAATGCACCACTCCATGTTTGGACGAGCTTCGATGAATTTCTTCAGCTTGACAGCTTGAGTTGTTACGTGAAGACGGAGTGACTTCTGTTGGGGCTCTTTCATGGGACGGACTGTTCACTCTGCTGGGAGTTGATGTAATTGGATTGTTTTCGGTGGAGATAAATACTATAGCAGCGCGAGAATATACAGGCGTTGTCCTCTGGTTGCATAAATGCATTGGGGTGGGTCGGGGACGCGCGAAGTGTATGAACACTGCGTTGCTCACCACTTGAGCTCCGAGATCTCTGCAATGGCAGCGACGATGTCTGCTGGAAGCACCACGACGGCGCATCGCCGACCAACTGCTCCCCGCCGCACCAGCTCCTTTCTGCTCTCCTCATCCATTTCGATGCTGTCGTAGTCGTTGATATCAGGGACGCTTGAAACAGTTTGAGTCACCTTGGCCTGCAACATCTTGGCTTTAAACGGGTTGATTTCGCAGGTGGTGATCATGATGGCTGCGTTGCTGATGGACGATTGCGAACTGATCTGCTAGATAGAGAGCACTTTGTTGAATGTCGACTTGTTCGCTGGGTTGCAAAAGCACTAATGGTCTCTGAATCGCTTTTTAAGTCGACGAGCAATGAGTCTAGTGTGGCAGTTGATAGAATGAAGTCCAGTCCCATGGTGAAACCAAGGAAACGCTTGATACTGTCGTGTCGTCGGCGCAGTTGTTTGGAAGGAACCACCAGCTCAACTGTCGTTGGCGTGTATTAAAGCAAGCGTCTGCCGTTACCTGGATAAGATCGTGTGTACATCACTGACGACGCTGCATCTTGGGACATCCTCGCGCACTCGATCGAGAAACGATCGAGGCAGACTGCGATCTGGTCGCTGTTCACGCATCGTGGAGCGGCTAAGCAGCTCGCTTGTGGCGCCAGCAACAACGACATGCGGGGAAGACAGGCGAGCGCATGGGTGGTCAGACTTTGGAGCTTGCGGCACCCCTTCGAGGGTGATCGGACGGAGCGACACCATAACGGTCAGTGCGTTATGCTTAGCAATTCACGGTCAGTGTAGCAGACTTGGCGGCGGCATGTAGCGAAGGCGTAATTGTCGCACTGGCGGATCTATGGATGCAAACCCTTTCGGCGGAGCGCCAAAGTTGGGCGTCTGCTCGGGATTTCGGCGAGGTAGAATGGAGGATATCAATCGCGTTTGTCGGTTTGCGGCACGGGGCCAGTTCCGAGAGTGCTCAGCGACGATACTTTCTTGGCGCAATCAGCAAAGGATAGCCGTCAGCTAGGCCGCCTTTGCCATCCAAGCGATGGAATTCCAGAAGGGCTAGCGGGGTCAACGCGTAAGGTATGGGGTCTGACGACCACACCAACCACTTCTTTCATTGCCGAGATCGTCACCAGCGGTAAAATCAGCGGAAAACGAGGAGTTTATGAACCGCTGCAAGAAAAAGTGAGCATCAGCTAAGATCCATGCAGCTTACAAGTTGTAAGTTACAACAGGACCTGCTCGCGTGGATAAATGTGGCAAAGAGAGAAAAAGCATCACGCAGCTACCGGTACCGCAAAACTTGCTACGCGTTGTTGTACAAACCGTGTCCCAAGTCACCAGTACCTCCTGCGATCAGTTGCAGGATGTAACTTGCAGTTTGTAGCTTCACGCAGCATCGCTACGAGGCAGGAGTGGTAATGAGGTACAAGTAGCTTTGATCTGCTGCACGTACTCTTTGATCTTTTGATCTTTGATTCAAAGACTTTGAATGCTTGAGTCAGCATTTCTGAGTCAGCAAGACCGGATACTGACTGCAGCCCCCTCCATTTCTCCATCCTTTAAGGCCGCTCTAAACGCATTTCTGGGGATGCTCGCACATAAGAACATCAAAAGTATACTACGAAAACTCATGCTCTGGGTGTGATGAACTTACCATTTCCACGGGTATGGTGTACTATCAGCATCCAACCTCCAGTAGCTAGCTCGCCCGCCGCCTTCCTTCCTCATTGCAGTTTCAGCGGTCTATCAACATCACGCCGCCACGGCGGTCACGGTGCACGTGCCAAATACTCCACGATACCATCAAGTTGCTCGCAACAACTACGACTAGGTGAGTAGAGCAAAAAGGAGTTATTGCCTCACCGAGGACAATCGCCAATGTAATCGCACCAAAATATTTTTCCACCGACGGCAATGTCACGTTTTACCGACACGGTCAGCCAGCCCAGCTTCAAATCAACTTCAACGCCAGCAAAACTGAAGAAAATGCGATTTCGTGTGTGGTAAAATACTTCAGTCACTCAGACAACCACCACACACAATAACAGCAGAAGCAGATCCAGTCCAAAGCTTCCCCTGGCCATTCCTATCGCATCGGCTGACGTGGAGCGCGCGCTCGCCATTCGGCCTGCTTTGGGGGACTTTTTCTGTTGAAGTTGCACTCGTCTAAACATGGTGTGGTGCACGCGAAGTGTGTGGCCCACGTCTAATCAACCTCTAAAACAACTTAGAATGTTCGACTTAATACTCAATTGACAAACTTCCTCGCGTTCTTACAAGAAAGTTTCACTTTAACAATCCATAACTCCTAAACTATGATTCACTCTGTTTTACATTCGACACAGTGACGTCGCTGAAGTTGAACTGCTGGGACCCAGCGGCTCGCAGTCCCAACGTCATATATTGGAATTCGCTTCGAAGCCCACAGGTCTCGTCGACAGACAGAAGATATTCGAGATGCTGCGCTCCAGCTCCCTGCGTGCTGCCACCGCTCTCACATCGCGCCGAGCGCTAGGCGCCCGCGCCATGTCGTCGCTGCCGTCGTTCGCTACTGTTGACCCGAACTTCAGCGGCGCCAACCCCACGGACGGCTTCAACCTGGTGAACGGCAAGTGGACCAAAACTGCCAAGACGGAGACGATTGTGGACCCTCTGAACGGCGAGGCCTTCATGACCATGCCTCTTACGCAGAAGGACGAGCTCGCTCCCTTTGTGGAGAGCATGACCAGCTGCCCCAAGCACGGTTTGCACAACCCTCTTAAGAACGTGGAGCGTTACGTCATGTACGGCGAAGTGAGCGCCAAGGCCGGTGCCATGCTCCGCGAGGAGAAGGTGGCCGACTACTTTGCCAAGCTGGTGCAGCGCACGTCGCCCAAGAGCTACTTCCAGGCCCGCAACGAGGTCAGGGTCACGGGTAAGTTTCTCGAGAACTTCTCCGGCGACCAGGTGCGCTTTCTGGCTCGCTCATTCGGCGTGCCGGGCGACCACCAGGGCCAGACTAGCAATGGCCACCGCTGGCCTTACGGTCCTGTGGCGCTTATCACGCCCTTCAACTTCCCCATTGAGATCCCCGTGCTGCAGATGATGGGAGCTCTGTACATGGGCAACAAGGTGCTGCTCAAGGTGGACTCCAAGGTGTCCATCGTCATGCAGGAGACTCTGCGCATGCTGCACGAGTGCGGAATGCCCATGACTGACGTGGACTTCATCAACTCTGACGGTGCTGTGATGAACGACCTGCTGATGCAGGTCAAGCCTCGTAACACGCTGTTCACAGGGTACGTTTGTGATTGTTCCGACTTTTTTTTCGAGTGAATGATAGCTGACCCAGATGTCTGCACTGTGTTGATGATTTGCAGCTCGCAGGCGGTTGCTGAGAAGCTCGCCAAGGACCTGAGTGGCCGTATCAAGCTTGAAGATGCTGGTTTTGACTGGAAGGTGCTTGGCCCTGATGTCCGCGACTTCGACTACGTTGCCTGGACTTCCGACCAGGTATGTTGTGCTTGTTTGCGAGGGTTTAATACGTTTTTTAACGAGTATTTTGTGCTTTTTACAGGATGCGTACGCTTGCTCTGGTCAGAAGTGCTCGGCGCAGTCCGTTCTCTTCATGCACAAGAACTGGACCAAGGCTGGCCTGGAGAAGAAGCTGGCGGAACTCGCTGCTCGACGAAAGCTCTCGGATCTGACCATTGGCCCTGTGCTCACGGTCACCACGAAGCGTATGCTTGACCATGCTGCCGCTCTGCTGAAGATTCCCGGTGCTCGTGTTGCGTTTGGCGCTGAGGAGCTGGAGAACCACACGATTCCGGAGAAGTATGGAGCTGTGAAGCCCACTGCAATCTTTGTGCCGCTCAAGGAGTTCGTCAAGCCCGAGAACTTTGAGCTTGTGACCACGGAGATCTTCGGTCCCTTCCAGATCCTGACTGAGTACGACGACAAAGAGCTGCCGGAGGTACTAGACGCTCTGGAGCGCATGGAAGCTCACTTGACTGCTGCTGTAGTCTCGAACGACCAGGAGTTCACGAACGAAGTGCTATCGGCTACCGTTAACGGCACGACCTACAGCGGTATCCGTGCCAGAACCACGGGTGCTCCCCAGAACCACTGGTTCGGCCCGGCCGGTGACCCGTGTGCTGGAGGTATCGGCACGCCGGAGGCTATCAAGCTCGTGTGGTCGTGCCACCGTGAGATTATCAACGACGTTGGTCCCGTGCCTGCCAACTGGACGATCCCGGAATCTACCTAAAGCGTTTTGCGTTGTGACTGGAGGTCTGTCCTAGCAGATAACGAATAAATTTGCACAGATCCAAAAGGTTTCTATGACGCCTGTTCAATTTAAAGAGCCTTTCGATGAAACAAGTTGAAGAGGACAGCTGATCAAATCAAGCAAACTGTGTTATCAAAAGGAAATCTAGTTACGGGGGAATGACATGGCATTTACAGTTCCTCCAGCTCCCACGCTGAAGTCTGGTTAGCCTCGGTCTCGGACAGAATCTGCGTAGGTTCGTCTTCCTTCATGGCCAGATCGTCAAGCAGCTCGTGCAGCTCCACAGCCGGAGCGCCAACATCGTCCTCTTCCATTGCGTCGTCGTCAGCAGGCTTAGCCGGCTTGGTGTCATCCTTGTACAGGTTGATCTGAGAGCGCAGTTCCTTATCCTCCTCCAGTTCGTCCAGGAACTGCTCATAGTCCTGTTCTTCCTTGGACAGATCGGTCTTGCGAACGGGACCTGCCTGCTCCACACCCTCCATTTTCTTGAGCTTCCAGTTGCGTGCACGTTTCTGAATCCGACGCGGGAACATCTTCTTCACGAGCACCACATCGGGCAGAGTCATACCCGACTGCACAAGCGGCACCAGATCAGCGTCATTAAACACAGCAGACGTCAGATCGTAGCCGCGAGCAGAGTCCCCGACGTGCAGGAGCATGCCGAGGTGGCTCACAGTACGGAATCGAGTGTCGTTGACGCCGAAATCAGCGTCACGAACCACCTCCATATCAGCCAATCGGGTCTTGCGAGTCACGCGGATCGCGCGGCCTCCACCCGAAGGAATCGCCATCGGGTTCGAGTCCAGAACTGTGAAGTCCGTCATGGCCTTAATCGATCGCAACGCACGGAAAGGATAGCGCCAGTATTTTTCGGAATCGATCTCGGCCACTTGAGTGGTGAACGGGTCGACAACGTGAATCGAAGAGGTGACGGACTGCACGAGACACAGACAAGACATGTTGCCTAGCATGCGAGCTAGCTTCACTGGCAGCAACACCAAGTCGTCCTTGCACACCGGAGCGATCTCCACAGCATACGTGAACTTGTAGTTGTGTGTGTTGCTGTGGTTATCAGCTGAAATGAGCTTTTTCGCTGTCTTGACCTTCATGGGGACGGATTCCTGCAAGAAATCCACGAAACGCAGTGCATGGTTGCGCTCCGAAAAGAAGAAATCGACACCGTCCGGGTGGGACTCGATGTTCGTGGTCTTCTCGTGGGCGCGGTGCTTGAGAATAAGCTGCTCCAGGAAGAAGAACGTGCGCTTATGGTCCACGCGCTGACGCACCTGCACCACAGCGCGCCAGGACTGGTTGGCGAACGAGGCCTGACAGGCATCACACTGCTGGTTGCGCACCACGAAGGTGACAACAAAAGATTGTTGCATGATCATCTTGCTCATGACCTCCTTCTGCACTGTGAGCTTGAGTTTAAGACGACGCGAGTGCGGCTCCGTCCAGATCCAGTTGGCATCAATAAGCTTCACGCGGTTAAGGTTGTTGATTTTCTTGAGGCACATGGCCAGAAGTTCGCGGGACTCGAGCTCGGCCGCCACCCAAGGCGGACGCGACCAGCGCATGCAGCCACGACATTGGTGGATGATCACTTCCTTGGGGATACCCTCGGTTACGTCCACCTGTGACTTTAGGCAGCTCACGCACGTGTTGGCAGCGTTTGCCACGATGGGCGTCGCGCACATGCAACACAAACTGCAAGTGACACATGGAGCAGGTCAGTGAGATGGTCATGACATTGACAAGCATTGACACGCATGCGTTGATATTTGCACAGCTCAAAAAAGTGCAATTCAGCAGGTGAAGACGCTTACATGGTAGGCATTTGGCTCGTCATGGTGCTCATGGTGACGTCGGCGCCGCAGGTGAGCAGCTACGGCGGTCGAAGTGCGAATGGGTGGAAGCGGCGCTAGGCCAATGGAAGCATGACCTGTTTTCGACCAATAATAGATGGCTACTTTTCTTTTTAGCAAATCAATTTTTCAGTCACTTCCATTGGCTAAAACCCTGTCGTAGGGACAGCCAGCGATCAGTTGGAAATTATCAACCGAGCAAGCATTTGAGTATGGACGGTGGAGCAACTCCCGCGGCCGGCTCCGGCACCAGCAGCGCAGCCATGATCAAGGACCCGGAGATCAAGTACATCTGCGGCGACTGCGGCATCGTCAACTATCTGTCGGCTCGCGACCCAATCCGTTGCCGTGCCTGTGGCTACCGCATCATGTACAAGGCTCGTACCAAGCGTCTCATCCAGTTCGAGGCCCGGTAAACACACACACGCACACCGACCCAGCAAGCGACTGCGCAGATGCAGGGCTAGATGCATGGCTTCATTAATAAATATGTTGGACCGAGGAACCTGTTTGTGTTGTGTAGGAGCTGATGAATGAATGCAACGTGTCTATTTGGCCAACCCTGTCAACGCTCTATTGCTGCGTACAAATCTAACTAATCCGGTCTACAAGCCAGCAAAGGCAAGCTGCATGAGCGCCGAAGATTCCTTCCACACACGCAGTGCGCGCTGCTGCACGCGCGTGGCGTCGGCGAACAGCGCCAAACGCTCGGACAGGCACCGCACGTACTGCACCCAGACCTCCTCGTGCGTCGACCCGAACAGCTCCACGAGTTTCTCGAACAACTTACGTACCTGCGGCACATTCACATTCGTCGCAGAAGTCTCGATGTCCACGCACAGCAACAGGAACGAGTACGTCTCGTGAGAAGGCAAGAACTGCTCGTCCACCATGAACTTGGTGTACAGCGCACGAACCTGTTCCAACGAGCGCTGAGAAGTGGCACTGGCAGCCCAAGTCACGTGCTGCTGACGTACTGCGCTCCAGTGTGCGGAGCCGCGCTTCTGAGCGCCAAGAGCGTTCTTAAATGCCTTCTCGATGACGCTTGAAGACTCGGCGTTGCTAATAAGCAGCTGTAAGAGGCGGGTGTGAACAGCAAACTGCGCGTCATAGTCCTCTGTAGCAATCTTGGTCAACGCTGTCTTCAGTACCGAAATGGCAGCAGCCAACGGGTTGCTGTTAACACTAGCAGTCTTCGAATACGAGCCATGTGAGGTGCGACGACGCTTAGCAGGCGATCGACTTGTGGTCTCTTCTTCATGGTCCGCATGAAGCACGAGCTGGGACTGCAGCAACCACATCTCCGATGACTGTGGCAGACACTCGCCGCAGATCTTCCGCACGACCATCAGTGCATCATTCGTACCGTCCGTGCGGTGAGTCAAGTCAACATACTTGATAGCGAGAGACGGCGATGAAGCGCTCGCCTCTGAGAACGCAAATTCTTTCAGTTTGGCACGCGCATACTCAAGCAGGAAGGCCGTTTGACTCGAAGAAGCCAGACGAGTCACTATCCACTCTGCAAAGAGCTCCTTCATGGAGACAGAGTCCAGTTGAGTGACGCTAATCTCAAAGTTCTGTACGACCATCAACTCCGCCTGGCGCTCAGCCTCAGACACATCAGCACTATCCACCTCCGACGACTCTCCAGAATGAGAAGCAGCACTGTTCTCAACTGTCAACAGAGGACGCAGCGCCTTAGCAGCGTGCACATCTTCGCTCTTCGGGAAGTTCTCCAGACAGTCCTGTAAAATAAATTCCGACAGCTCTGCAGCCGTGAGTGAGCCGAATAGGTCACGAATCTCCACAAACTTAAGTCGGAAAGCCACGTCGTCCGGAATCACCGCAACTGCGTTCGTGTAGACAATCTTCGCAATCGCACCCTGCAGCACAAGCTTTCTAGCGTTCATCTTAGCAGTCATTTCCTCCGAAATCTCCTCTTCGACATCTTTTTCTTCCGGTAGTTCGTCAATCAACACGGTGGATTCATCATCATTCACAGGCTTCCCCGTTTCTTCGTCCAAACGCAGCACTTGACGACGCATTGCCAGCTTCTGCACGTACAGGAGCTCCAGACGAAAGTACTCGAGCCAGAGCTTCTGGTTGTGTTTGTTGAGACGAATGGCACGCTGCATCAGCACACGCGCCGAGTCCACGTTGAGGTTGACGCCGAATTCATAGGACGCGGCTTCGATCCAGAGTTCGGCGCTGCGCGGGTGCGACTGCAGCGCTCTGGAGAAGACAGCGGACAGTACACGGCTGCTTCCTTCTCTCTTGCAAAAGGCTACATACTGTAACCAGAGCTCAACGCTGCCGCGGTGCTTGAATAGTACACGGTCGAAGATGTTGTGCACGCGCTTGGTACCGGCCGTGTCGCCCAGCGTGACCTTGACAAGGCCTAGACGCTCCTTTCGCGCCGCTCGCAGTGCGTCCAGCTTCAGTTCATACTCAATGTAACGCATTGCGTCGATCTTGCGCAGTGGCATACGCTGCAGTGAGTACTCAAAACCGCGACGCTTATCCACAATCTGGCGGATCTCGTCCGCCGAGAAGATTTTGCGAGCCTGCAGATCCTCCAGCTCGGGGACCATCTTCTCCATCGTGATCTGCACCTTGTCCGCCATGGTTGTCGATTCACTCAGTCCCTCGCCCTAGCACTGCGACCTGGTTCAGCTTAGCGTAGCTCCTCGTCGAATGACTGCATGGAATGGCAGTCATTGGGTGGCGTGAATCGCACTTAGACGAATGTTTCTGTCACATAAAGTTACACAGTGCTAGCTGAGACCAAGCTGACCTACACTCCTGGTCATTAGCGTGTGGACAAGCGTTGAGTGCGGCAACATGTTCCCGGAGGACCGCTTCCATCCGCTTGGGCCGGACGCTGATCGCCTGCACGACGATCTGGTAGAAGCCACGGAGCTGGAGAGCACGCCTAAAACCTCGAAAGAGCTAGGCTCAGCACTTGTGTTGCACCAGTTCCTGCCGGCCTGGGACGTGCAAGCCTATCTGCGTGTGGCTGGCATTCGACTGCACGTGCACAACTCCAAATACCCGACGTACGAGGCCACAGGTATGGTGAATAATAGGCAATAAGTCTTGTTTAAAACGGTGTAATTAACTGGAGCTTTGCACTATCATCAGGTGAACTGCCGCAGCTCAGTGATGGCAACTTTTTACTGCCCAAGGAGGAGATTATCATGCACCTGCAGACGGTAAATGGCCGTAGACTTTTGTGCATTTAACTGCTGTTTTTTTAACGTATTTCTTTTATTTCTACAGTTCCACAAGGACATCGATGAGTTCTTAACTGACCAACAACGCAGCGAATCGTATGCGTATCGGTCAATGCTATCGGAGAAGCTCCAGCGAGTGATGATGTATTGCCGCTGGGTCGACTCGGCCACGTACCGCGAGGTCACACGGCCGCACATGAAGCGTCATATCCCATTCCCACTAAACCTCTTCTTACCCAAGAAGATGCACCTGGACACGATGGAGAAGCTGCGCATGTACGGCATTTCGACCAAGGAACAGGCTTACGTCATCGCTCGTGACTGCTACACGGCCCTCAACACGAAGCTTGAGAGCGCTGGCACGCCTTATTTCTTTGGAGATCAACCGAGTGCTCTGGACGTCGCGGTGTTCGGGCACGTTGTTGACGCTATGGGCAATACGCAGCTGGTGGCCACTGTGCATCAGCATGCGCCACTGCTTATTACACTGGCGGAGCGTATCCGGGACGCGTATTTCGGTGCTCCTGGTGAACAGCCCACGAGTCTCAGTGAAGAGGCATTGTACTCGGAGAACCAGCCCAATTACTTCACTACTTCGTTAGACAATGCCTTCATGAAGAAGGTCTCGCAGCCACTGCAAGTGGCTTTCCTCAAGCCATACCGCAGTTTGGACTGGAGTCGTCGTGAATTGGCTTCGGAGATTGCCCAGAAGAAGCGTAAGAAGGAGGCTGAGGAGCGAGCTGCTGACGAGGAGCACGATGAGGCTTTCCAAAAGGGACCTCGTAACGTTATCATCGGTGCCATTGCAGCTCTGGTATTGTATGCCGTGACAGCTCTGCCAGTAGCTGTGGTCGATGTCGACGATGAATATTACGACGAGGACGAAGACGACGAATAGAGAACCCCACCGCCTTGATACTCATCAGGTGACGTTGTAGATTGATACCAACTTTGTTCTGAGCGTCTGTTTGATCTTACCAGAAAGAAGGACAAGCATGACAATGTAAGCCTGTTTTGAACGAGGCTTTTGATGATGGAGTTTTTGGATGCTGGATTCCCGCTGTCGAATCAATTTCAATAACTTTAACTTACACGATGCCATGTACAAATAAAAAAGGCGAGCAGAATGGCTGCTCTTCGCATGGTTGCTTGTCCATACTAGAGTGAGCAGGCGTATTGTGTTGTCATAGATCCACGGTGTCATCTGCAGTCATTCAAAAAAACAAACATCATCAACCACTCATCGCTTGCAGTCCCAGTCGCTCTTTGAAGCACGTACCTCCCGATATAATGTCAACTGTTTGGTCAAGCAGCTCGTCGTCTGTTGGGTCCAGAGTGGACAATGATACCTTCTCCAGCAGTCCATCAAACCGTTGCTGATCATCCAGAGTTGATAAATCCTACAAAATTATAGCACGTGAACAAGAATTAGATCGACTGCTTCAAGTGTTTCGTGGAGAAAATTTCCAGCTCGTACGCTGACACTGTTGAAAGAGACCATTGATTCGACGGCACTCTTCCACCCTTTCTGCATGATCGCCTGTCGAGCTTGTCGCTCCTTGTTGGCCTCCAGCTCTTTTGTGAGCAGTGCTTGGCCCGGAGAGGGAGCAGAAGATAGCGACATCCCCTGCTTATCGCGCTCCTGTAGCATTAGTCGAAGTCGTTGCTGATGGAATAGCTCGTACGCGGACGCGTGGCCTTCTGTCATGATCATCTGAGACCGCGGAGTCTGTGAAGAACCCCATTCTTCCCGTGGTGTATTCAGTCCCTTTCCTCCAGCGGCTGCCGCAGCTGAAGAAGGAGGAAGGCCGGCATTTACCCCAGCGCCATTAGAACTGTTGTTACTGTTTGCAGTGACACCACCCCCGCTGTTTATCATAGACTGTGTAGATGTCCCGGAAGGCGTACCCAAGGATGCAACACGCGGGTGAAGCGGGGCGCCGCTGAAGCCTTGGTGAACAGGAGGAGGCGGATGCGAGTGCTGATGATACTGTGCATTTGCCATTGCCATCGCCATAGCCTGAGAAGAATACGTGGGAGTTGGAGGCATCGACAGCGGTGTTTGCATTGAAGATGATACCTGACATGACGAACCTACGTTAGATCACAGTCCAAGCATAACCATCTCATTCTTTTACTTACCGGCATGGGCATCTGCATTTGCATTTGCATTTGATTTGATGTCGAAAAATTCGTCGGCACCACGTAGTTTGGCATCACCCCCATATTTTGCTGCTGCATCGTGTATCCTTGAGGATACTGGTATGTTGGTGGCACTTGCTGTTGAATATGCTGCTGCGACGGATGTTGTAGTAGCATTTGTTGCTGGATATTCACGTTAAATCCTCCATCAGCCATTCCGTACACACCAGGAGGTTGCTGGTTTCCCGGCGGTACCAATTGGTTTGGATTGCCTGTATACATGGTATTACCAGCGTGTCCTGCTGAGCTCGGATGAAAGCGCTGACTCATCTGGAAGTTGTGAATCGACGCGGCCACCAACTCATTCACATTGTGCATCGAATTCCCCGGCGCAGCCATCGCTGCTGCCATATCCGGTTGCGTCATTGGCTGATTCTTCACAAATACAGTCGTTGGCATGTTCCCTACAGAAGCTCCCATTGCAGAATTAGGCGCATCGATCACAGGCTTGCTTTCCGATGACACTCGCTGTTCGCTTTTCACAATCGTGTTCTGGTTTGTATCTGCGGGTGCTGGAGCACGAGCTTTTTGCCGAGTTGGGCTGGTTTTAGCAGGTTTAGCTTGAGGCCGCTCAGCATCTGCCGGAGAAGACGACGCTGTGCTTACAGCAGCTGCAGGTGATGCAGTAGCAGCTGTAGGTGTTTTATCTTCTTTAGAAGCAGCGCGTCGTCCGCGCATCAGAGATTTCCAGCGAATTTTGACAGCATCTTCGGTTCGGCCCTATAGGTCGAAACGTTAAAGCGTTGAAGTTAGATACCGATGTCCCCTGCTTTATTGAGGAATGCCCACTCAAACCTTGAGCTGCTGCGCGATAATGGACCAGCGATTGCCTAGTTTGGCTTGCATCTCAACAATAATCTTGTCTTCATCCTCCGTGTACGATCTGACCAAAGTGAAAATAAAAATTAATTGACGATGGTTAGTATCGTTTCCATCCAAGCCCGGCAGAAGATAAGATGTAACAGACTCACCCCTTATTAATGTTCGGGTCGAGGTGATTGCACCACCGCTCCCGACATTGCTTGGACCTGGGTCGCAAACACGATTAGCACGCGCCTCGTGGCATTTCAATCAATCAACTCACGTTCGTCCAGGAATGAGCGAGGCTACTTGTCCCCAGTTCTTTTTGCCTTCTGCCACCAATTCCCGCAGTTTTGCGTCTTCTTCAGGTGTCCAATGACCCTATTTCATGCACAACAATAAGCGATCTGGTACACCCTCATTTCCAACCATAAATCGCATGTTTACCTTGATTAATCCTGGCTTGAGCACTTTAGTCCATCGCTGCAAACACTGCGTGTGGTTCCGTCCAGGTACCTGGTCGGCAATGGCCTTCCAATTGCGCTCTCCACTCCTCTCAACCGCCAACCGCAGCGACTCGTCCTCGTGCTTCGACCATCGTCTCGGATTCGATTTTTCCTTCGCTGGCGGTGCCTGCTTCACCGCGTTGAGAATCAAATGCGCTCGTGGGACGCCCATGCCGCTGCCTCTCCGATCTTTCACCATCAATTTGGCAGGTTGCGCGTGTGGCCGTTGCTGCGGCTGCGGCGGTGCAGTATCTTGTGACGAGGCTACAGACGGCGACGCTGCCGAATCCTCCTCCGTACTGCTGCTTCCTTGCATTGAGGACTGTGGAGAGCTCGTCACTTGCTTATGACGCTGCGAGGCTGGCGCTGGCAACATCTTCTTCAAGCTGTCGGTTCGTCCGCGCTTCTTGGGGCTCTTGGCTGGCAACTTGGATGCCGGAGCACTGGGCACATCAGTGGCGTCCATGTCCACCCCATTGCTTGGTGCCTCATGAGAGGCAGCGGGCGATACGACACCATTAACACTGGATATTGACGTCTGATCCAGCGCCTTTCCCAGTTCCGTTAGCTTGGCGGAGCTCACAGGCGAGCCTTCGACTGTCGCCATCTCTTGCGTCTCTTCACGCGCGGGTCACCTTGCCTCGTTGAAGCGCAAAGAATGCTCTCGGGATACAGAGACTCACGTTATATAGGGGCGAAGCTGTTTGCTCTAGCTGGGTAAGATCGTGCTACCGATGCTTACTTTACTCGCTATGTGGATAGTTGCCACTTCGTATTGGGAGCTTGAGGTTGAGCTTGATTCTCGATAAATTGATATCGCGGAAAAGCAAAAGAAGGGGGCGACGAAGGACGATTGTGTGGTACACATGTGAAAAGGATAAGATGATGATGGCTTCAAAATGGGTTCCTTTCAAGGATATTTTTCACTCGTCTACATTAGCGAGAGCGAGGCCGTCGGCACCGGAGCGAATGAGCTCAGTAACTGCGCCGCTTCGCGACAACCAGCGTCCGGATCGTGGTTCTGCACCTGACGGAGCCACGGAGCGACCTCAGCGAGAGCCTCGCCCACCTCTTGCCGCAATAGCGTTGGCGGTACCACTAGCAGCACGCGACTGAGACTAAAAAGTACTTGGCGACGCACTTCAGCGTTGGTGCTGGAGCGCTCGCTCCACGCGAACTCCAGCAGACACTTGGCCATCGCTATCGTCTGTGGCGCATGGCCCGCGCACTCTACGAAGCTCGCAAGAGCGTGCAGCAAATGCGCTAGGAACGTCTGCTCCACTTCGCTTCGAGCTTTCTCTGGAGTGGCCGAGTGCTTCCGCACGTAGTCGACGTATCCGAACAGCAGCGGTGAGAAGAATTGCAATGCGTAAGGAGCAAATGCGTTCCTCTTTGGACCGGCCAATGGATCACGTCGGTAGCCCCAGCGACGGGTTTTCAGGCTTTGCATTGTTCGCGTCTTCAAGTCGCTCTGTACCTGCTCGTTTAGCAGCGTCTTAGGGGTTTTGGGGTGCTGGTAGCCACCTCTTTCAGATAATTCCTGAGCAGCGGAGGTCATTGCCTGTAGCACGTCGATGCGAGATTGCAGCAATTGTTCACGCTCCAGCGCCTGGCTAGTTAGATACGGCAGCGTTTGAGTCGGTGCCAGTGTGCACGCCGTCGCCAGAGCTTGCGAGCGGAGGCTGACGAACTGTGGCGTGTTGTACTTGTCTTCGAGTCGCAGTAAGGCTCGAACTACTTCGTGTGCTTTGTCCTTCAGATCTCGAGGCTGACGACGGATCAAACTTTCAGCCTCGTTCAGAGCAACTTCCGTTTTCTCGCGATCATCATCCGCCAACAGACTAGTAATTAGATCCTTCAGATACAAAGGTCGCTTGGCTGTCAAGTCTTCCTCGTCATCCTCCAAGTCATAGGCCTCCAAGCTCAGGTCGGAATCTGAATCTGCACTATCAAAGCTCGATTCGGATTCAGCGTCACTATCTGAGGCATTTGCTTCATCCTCATCACTGAGCACCAACTCATCTGGGTCAAGTGTGAATGGTTTGTTCAAGCGCTTCTTCGAATTCTTTCGTCGTCTTCGCTTCTCCTTGTCACCGCTTGTTCCAGACGTAGACTGCTCGAGAGACTCTTCTTGTGCGTCTAAATTCAGATTTGCAATCCCTTTCTCGAGCTCTTCAGGCAGTACGGGGCATCCGTATATCTCTACGGGGTCTTCATCCTTTAGACCGAAGTCCAATGGCTGTTCAGAAGCGATGATGTGTGAAAGACTCTCCCCCACACGCATACCTAGCGCTCGTACGCGCTCAATTGAGTGGCCCATGTGGTCTTGGACTCCTTTGCATAGCTTCGTGATCCAGTCTTGCTGCATAAATGACTCACCACCATCCTTCGAAAGCTTCTGCAGACTGTAGCGAAGGAAGAAGCACACGGCAGCATTGACGGTGTACTCAGTGTTGACTGCGAAGTCACTTTGGCTCCAGCGCGTAAGCACCACATCAAACACAGCTGCTAGCGGAGATTGGCAAGGGTGGCCGCCGTACTGCACCATTACATCAACCAGCACTCGCCAGAAGAAGAAATCGTCAATGGACTTCCGAAGTAAGAGCTTGTGGGCAACGACATACTGGAGCTGCTTGCTGGCACACAACTCCGGAGGAATTTGAGCCAGGAGTCTGTACTTGGAGAGACTCAGCGCTTGTTGTGCAGTCAAAGTAGATGGGGTCTTTTCACGCGAAAGATGAAGCAGAATTTGCTCGTGACATGACTCTGGGAGGCTCTGGAATAGCGTGGAATGCATCGTCAAGGATGAGGTGGTGATAGAGCGCAACCAGCTCTGGACAAGTACTTGTGCTTGACCAATGCGCACGAGCTTGTCGGCAAACACCCGAAAGGTGCGTGATTGCCCTACTGGGAATTCTTGTTCCGATAGACCGCGAAATAAGGCATCGCAAAGCATCGGGAAATATCGTCGAGGGAGAAATACTGCAGGGGTGTCGCGTTGACGTCTATTGTATACGAGATCTGCAGGCCAACCACATAGACGAGATGAATACAGCATTCAGCGAACACACCACTTTAGTCAGGTTGCCTCCGTGTGGGTGGATGATAGTGCTGTACAGTACCTGGAAGCGATGAGAGCTGTGAGATGAGAACCTGATAACCGATTACACTCTGTCCATTACTGATCGATTGCTAAAATGAGGATATCAAAGATACCACGGGATAGTGAATCAATCAGCCTATAGCGATCAGCCACAAGCACTGCACTCACCTGTTCCTGTATCAGCATTTCAGTCACGATGTCCTGTACCCCACCAGTCGTAACAATCTTTTCGAGCAGTCGGACGCACTGCGTAATGGAAGCCCCTGCATCTTCTTCCGTTGTTCTATTTGTTGCAGCTGTTCTTGTGTTGGTGGCGGATAGCTTCGATGCTAATGCACCAATTGCTCTGCTGGACGGAACAACTTCACGGTCAAAGAGGACGTCGAATCCTTGGTCCCGGTCTTGCTGGGTGAAGCAGATCTCCAGGTGAACAGCCACGAAGTGCAATAGGAATGCTGCAACATCGCGATAGAAATACTCCAAATACAAATTCTGCAACGGCGTTGGATATAGCAAAATTAGGGTGCTAGATCAATCTAGCCACCAAGAGCCAATAAGTTGCTACCTTCCACGACGACGGGAACCGATCGGGACTGTGCAGTGGAGCAGCTAGCTCGCGCAGTTCGGTCACTGCTGCTTGGACGTCGTAACGATCCTCGGCTGCCTCGATGCTACGCTTTCTGGCGTCGACAAACGCCTGCAGTCGCTGCATCTCAGCATTTCGCACTAGTGTCATGCTTATTGGTGACCGAATTTACCTGGGTAGGGTCGAAAATAAGCTCACTTTAAATCAATACATTAGCAGTTGATTTTGAAAAAAAAAAATGGTCAGTACCGTATTTGAGACCTCATACTTCGTACCCCATATTCTTAACCCCTTCAACCCGGAAGATTTTTGTTGCCTTTTTCTAGCCTACGCTGTATATACATGGTACGTTTATATGGGTTTCAGTATACCCTAGGGGAACGGAGTCGGATGGGACGTGCGAGAGTCCGTACCAGTAGGGGTTGGTTGTTGCTTTTGTTGTATATACACCCGTGCATAGGAGTCTCTAGCCGGTATAACTACAGCTACATATGAGCTATGCACGCTGTTACAGCTGTGCTAAAAACGGTGTGTTGTCCACTCGACCGATTATGTTGCATGGACCAAGCCTCTTACCATTCGGCTGGTGCGAGAGCCACGGATCTGTAGAGAAATTTATCTCTAAAACTCGAGAAAGCGTGCATTAGATAGGCTACTGATATAGCTATACTCTGCGCAAGTAAAGATAAATCGTCCATTGAGCAATCAATGATGACAATATACGTATCTAGTCAATCAGACCTAGCAAGGTCTTGGATGGCCTGGCTACTGCTTGTCATCAACTAAGTGTGAGCGATTGAGCTCTTTAAACAGACCACTCCCCACAGATGACAGGTGTCTCTTTTGAAAGCTTCTTTCATAAACAAAACGTACAGCTCAAAGACGAAACACGAAGTTCATTCACCAATGCATTACTACTCAAACCTACTTGGAATCTTCAGAAGCATCGGAGTCTTCAGAGTCTTCCGATTCGGCAGAGCCTACGCGTCGACGCTTGGCTGGCGACTTCCCTGGAGAACCCGCCGTCCTTGGAGCACGCACGCGGTT